AAAGAATACATATATATATATATATATATATATATATATATATATGTATATACAATATATACATATACATACATACATATATACATATTGTTTCAAGTAAATGTCAAATTTATAGACAATCAGATGTTACGATAATGTATATATCTATTTACATATATTATCTAGAAATATGTATTTTCAATAAAAATTAATAATATTCATTAGCTAATACTATATCTTTTCTGTTATGTTGCATTCTTTGTCTGCATTCTTTTCGGTTTTTCTGTAAAGTACTAAAACTACACACACTTGTTATTCTCTCACTTTCGACGCGACGTGATGATCGTCGTGAAATATTATATACCAGTGAAATATTATATACCAAGTATAAAAAAACTTTTATCATATAGTTCATTGTACTGATAATATACATATCGTACACAACACAATATATCTCCCTTGTTATTGGTATAGGCATTGCTGTTGTGACTTGTTTTTATGTTTGCAAAGTTGGAGGAATAAAATGAACAGCTATTATCAATTGAGGATAGCGCATTCGTAATATTTAATGTTTCTTCGGCGAAATGGTTAGGTTGTTGTACTCCCTCGCGGACATGCGTAATAATCCTCTTTCGAAATGTATGGTAAGTGGGGTAAACATTTTCACATTAGTCTTCAACATGGACATTACCAGACATCCAGGATACAAAGGTGTCGAAGATTTATTATATATCTGTTTACTTGTATTATATATCTGTATATATCTTATTTACAAGTAAAAGTGTATTTTTAAACATTTTCTGAATTATTACGTGGATTTTAATATATTAAAATTGAAATTAATATTTAATAAAAGAATCTAGTTTTAATATAACTATTATACTTTGTAATTGCGATATATTTAAATAGATATTTTTAAATATTGCAATAAAATTGATATATTTTTGAAATCCTTTTACAATTTTGATTACATATACTAATAATTACAATACTAGAAATATATAAGCAATAATTACATATACTAGAAACTAAAAATTTTGTGTGAATATTTTAGATTTATAATTTTAAATTATTTAATTTAAAAATGTTTTAAATTTTAACCAAAATTTAATATATAACTTTAATTTGTTGTTAGATTTTACATGGGCAGTTAAATTAAATCGCTTGGGTTTAGAATTGGTTGGATTATGGCCCAAGAATGATCAAGTCATTAAGAATAAATTCGCTTCCGATCTTCGCATGGCTATTATTTTCATTATAGTGACATTTGTTTCTGGTATACCTCTTACATGTTCCCTTATACGAGTTTGGGGTGACATGATGCTCGTGGTAGACAATCTTCAAATTACTTTACCTTTGCTAGTGGTGTCATTGAAACTTGTTATCATGCGGTGGAAACAGACAGGTATGGTTTGAATTATTTACGTGATGTGAATTATTGTATGAAAAGTATAATGATTAATATATATTTAAAAATATTTGCCTTATTTTTAAAACAAGAAATACTACGTAATGGCCTTGCAAGTGATTATTTTGCTATATTTCAAAGCACTTGTGTCCATTATAAAAATGATGGCAGAGGACTGGATGGAATTGAAAACAACAAAGGAAAGGGATGTAATGATGAGACAAGCACAAATTGCTAGAACAATTGTAATCAGTGGATATATTCTAATGGTATTGGCGTTCATTGTGGTCATCGTTCTTCCGTATTTTGGCTTATCATTAAGGCATTTGACAAACCTCACGGATCCGGGCAAGCCATTGCCATTGCAGACTTACTATTTTTACAACATAGATAAGAGCCCACAATTTGAACTGACATACATCGTTCAAGCTATTACGATTTTCTTGGCTGCTGTGACTTATACCTCAGTAGATGCTTTTCTTGGACTTGCAATTCTTCATTTCAGTGGTCAACTGGAAAATTTTAAAGGTCGTATTAGTGGTTTGATTTCGTGTCAAAATTTCATCTGCGCTCTA